CGCATTAGTATTTGAGCACTTCTGGCTTTCTGGCGTAGTAAGATGCCAGGGCTTCTCTTCTTGTTCTTTCCGTGGCTCAGGCCTGTACCCAACTATTTCTCCAGAGAGCTAAAGTATTTAGAAACGAAGATCTGGGTAATTGCCCCTAAAACTGCTATAACTCAGAGAAAGTTAAAAGTCATTAATCACTTGTTTAAGCTCCCCCGACCCCTGAACTTCTGCTAAAATATTCCCATAAAGGCATTGGGCATTCAGAAGTGGGAAGGGAAGGACCAGTGATAGGAGGAGTCAGAAGTCAAGGTCTTTGGGCTTTGGACCAGAGGGCACAGTGATGCAAAAAGTGACATGCCAAAGGCCAATTTAGATTATATTGGAGTTCTGCCCAGGGGGAGACTAGAGAGCCTGAGAAAATAATTTCTGCTTGTTTTCCAGGTAGACTCTGAAAACATTGGTTGCCCTTTTTTTAGTATCTGGTAATGCTATGAGACTGTATTCCCCTGAGTTATACATATGCTAATTTTTAGAGCAATTTAAGGAATACAAGTTTCATCCTGAGAGTTCCTAAGTGCTCCGCATTTTCAGTCAGTGCAAGGTATATAGAGATGGATGTATATTTCAGCATATCTTCTTTTAAATATTAAAATTCATAGATTTTTTTCAGTAATGATAGTTGAATATATTATCTGAGTTTACTTACAGATTATAATATTTAGTTGCAAATTATTAAAAGTGAAAATGTAGAGCATTTTAGGCAGCAACTTGTGAAATACAGAAACCAAGAATTTCAAAGTTATTTTCCAAAGTAATCGGTATGCATCTGATAAAATGATAGCATCTCTGAGGGGGATCTTGAACTTGAACTGACTGACTTTTCTGGAACTCGATATCCCCTCTGTGCTCTATTTTTATATATAATAGCATAATTAAAATGTTCATCTGCCTATTCTGTTCTTTCAAACAAAACAAAACATGATGCCAGTAGCTTTTGTTTCCATTTGATGGGGAACCTATGAAAATGCTTAAAAATATACAGGCAGATTTGAAACAGAAGGGTTTTGTTTTTGTTTGTTTTTTATGGAAGTCAGTATTTTTGGAAGTAAAAAAAGCAAAACAAAAAAAGCAAAGACTACTGCATCTATGCCTTGTGCAGCAGGAATATGGTTATTAGTCAGATGTATATGTTGAATGTTTCGGATGCTTTATAATATTATGAAACAAAGCCACACATGCACACACAGAAACACTTGACTTCTAATCTGCAGTATGTTTTTGACAATGGAGAGTCATAGTAAAGTAACTGCTCTGTATGAAATAGGTACTGGATGTAGGTACCTGAGGAAGGTTAAACTTAAAATGGAAAGGGATGCATGATTTAAATGTGCTGCTTAGCAAACATAGGTGAGTGAACTCAGATGTGTGGTGGCCAGATTGTCCCAAATTGCCCCTTGACTCCTGAATACCCGCACCATTCTGTTATGATGTGATGTCAGCGAGTGGGGTTAGACAAAGCGCTCTCATGACTAAGGAGTCACCATTTTTGGCAAATGGATTATTTGCAAAGTCGAATTTTGTCATTGTCGGGGGCATTTTAACATAATTGAGGTCTTTTGGAGGTTATACAGATCAATCTCCCTTTTCTTACTTTCTGTTTCCAGCTGCCCAAGTGAGCATTCATTCCGATGCCCAAATCCACTGCTCCTTGTGTGTCCTTAATCTTGATCTTGTTTGAAAGGAGCTTTAGCCAGAACACAATTTCTTCATTGAGAACAAAATTTCTTTCAGACATTAAGACAGCTCGCGTAGAGTTATTTAATTAAAAAAAAAATCTTTGATCTGTATTTTCCTAAATCCATGACTATTTTGGCCAGTAAAAGCAGATTATATTTTGGACTCTGTAATTGATTTAACATACTTTGAACATCCATGTTAGGACTGGGTTGCCCTGGAGCTGTTAGGTAGAAACTATATATATATATATTTTAAAAGATTTTATTTATTTATATTTTAGAGAGAGGAGAAGGGAGGGAGAGAAACATTGATGTGCAAGAGAAACACCTACTGGCTGCCCCTCACATCCTCCCAACTGGGGACCTGGCCTACAACCCAGGCATGTGCCCCTGACTGGGAATAAAACCAGCAGCCCTCCTGTTTGCAGGCTGACGCTCAGTCCACTGAGCCAGACCAGCCAGGGCAGAAGCTATATACTTTTAAGGGTTCAGTCAGACTAGATCTGTTGATAGTCATGGAGAAAGCTTCTGGTGTCCTTGTTCCTGGGCTGGACTTCATCCTGTTGTCTAGATTCTCTCATGGAATTAGAGTGGGGATAAAAAGAAGTTTTTCCACCAAATGCCTTAGTGTTATTTTTATATAGCATATTGTTATTTTTAATTGGGAAAGTAGATATGATTTTTGTGGAAAATTTGGGTACCATAGGGAGATGCAAAGAGAGTAAAAATTATTTTACTCTAATTCTATTATCTCAAATTAGTAGCTATTCAAATGCTGACTTTTTTTTTTTTTTTACCTCTGGTCTTTTTTTAAAGATATAGATACTTTTAAACAAAATCAGTACCATATTGAACATATTGCATTATAGTCTGCATTCCCAATGAACATTGCTTAAAAACATTTTCCCATATAATATCTTACAGGTTTTAAAAATCTGTTTTTTATTGTTGGTACTTAAATTTTTCAAATTGCTTGAAATGATATTACTTATAATGGAAAACTTCTTAGTTCATATCTTTACGTCTGTGTATATCTTACACTTTTAAAAGATAAATTCATGGTCCTTTTTTTTTAATTTATTAGTTTAAAGGAATGAAAAGCAATTTAATTCATTTTTGTCCTTTCCGGCAATCATGGTTAAGCCTTCTTATATGCAAGAATCTAACTTTTAACACCAATGTCTTGGTCTTTACGGAATGGCGCAGCAACTGACACCTTATCTGTCTACCATGATTAGGGAACTTCCCATAAATAGATGTTTAACGAAACCCAAACTGACACTTACTGGTCCCTACTTGGTCATTGTGAACATTGTGAATGAGAACCTTTCTAAAATTGTATTTCATATGCTGCTCTTCCCTTTAACATAATGAAAAGATTTGAAAAATCAAAATTTAATCACTTCTGTTTTAAATCACAAGCATCCTTATAAACACTAGCTATTGTACAGTCAGTTCTGCTAAAATATGACATACACGTTTCTAAATACCACCATGCTATGAAAAATCATGTAATAAAACCCATAACAATTACAGGGTAAAGAGAGTCAGGGACACAGCACTTGATAACCTTTATCAGTGTTTACTAGTAATAGGTTAAAAAATTAGATAGGAACTGAATAAAAATTGTAACACAATTTTATACATATTAGGTGGTTAAGGAATAAATAAATATGGCACTTTACCTTGAACAAATCTGACATTTTCTTGTGGACAAAGGGCTTGGAAGGGTCGCACCTTGTGAGTTATTCTCCAGTGGCGGAAGGAGGGTTACCTGAAATCAGAAGGGACATTGGGGCGCCTGATGTGGACAGGTATGGCCCACAGCACGCTGGTGGAAGCGGGTCGCTGGCACATGTTTGAGGCATGGGCTTTTTCATTCTCTGTGTCCTTGTGCAGCTGGGTCCCGCCTGGGTACAATCTTCTGCTATTTCCTAGTGTTGTTTGCAATGAAATCATGCATAAATATGTGAAATTCAAGTTATGCTCAAATTGTTTCCTACCATATCACCCTTGGAACAAACACAAGCTTTATGGCAGAGTTGAGTATACTGCGGTTAACGGTGATGTGTAGGAGATAGTCTGCCTGTCTCTATGCTACACAGAGGTAACACATGTGAAACAGAAGAATCTGGCATGAGAATTAACACTGTATATGTGTTGGCAGCAACAATGACAATGATGATAAGAGATGCCTATTGATGTTTCTAGGATTCTGTTGTAGCAGTTCTTTCTGCCTTCATCTAATTGACCTGTTTTTCAACCTCTCTTGGCTCACAGATGAATTTGTTATGCTTCTTAGAATTACATGTAACTGCTCTGGCTGGTGTGGCTCAGAGGATTGAGTGCTGGCCTGAGAAACAAAGGGTCGCTGGTTCCATTCCCAGTCAGGGCACACGCCTGGGTTACGGGCCAGGTCCTCAGCTGGGGGCACGTGAGAGGCAACCACACATTGATGTTTCTCTCCCTCTCCCTCTCCTTCTCCTTCCCTTTTCTTCTCTCTAAAAATAAAGGAATACATAAAATCTTAAAAAAAATTACATGTAACATAAGGCCCAGAATGAGAGCACAGATTTGAGGTTACGGTTTACCTGTGACATTCATTGTACCTCCTCATTTTTTGTAATCTTGTGAATGCATTATTACCTATGTTTACATATGTATTCATTGACAGGATTGTTGGGGAAGTGCCTTTTGTTTTACATGAGGTTACTATCGTGCAGAATTTTTGGATTTTTCTGTTTCATCAGAAGAAAGTTAATAGGACTCTTTTTATTCCCACCTGCTGCAGCGAATGGCGCTTACCTGAAGCGCCTTTAAAAGTTGATGATTTTCTTGACGTCATTGTTCAGTTCTATCACAACTGCCTCTGAGTTTGTGAGACGAGCCCGTTTTTGGAAGGTGGGGCAGGCCACTGTGATTTCGGGCCTCCCCTCCCAAGTCAGCATAATTAGAAGCCCAGATCCTCCCTCCGTTGCTTTTTATGACTCCCTGAGAAGCACACTTTTACCATGAACGGTTGCCAAGAAAACTTGCTGATTCCTGCTTTAGTAACTTTAGTAAGACAACAGATCAAAATACTGTCTAGATTTAGCAAACCTTGTTAGTATTGTTCTGAAAGAAAACTAGCTAATAAAGCTCATCTTGTAGATACTCCAGTGAAATCTGTATTGTAATTATGCAAAGAGAATCTGAATGGCCATGGGGTGTTTTGGTTTTTAATTTCTAATCTGACTTCGAATTTTGATTTTTTTGTCTCTATATCATTTTCAGATATATTTGGCCTGCCTGACCTCAATGAGTGGTTGTTATTAACAAGATTCTGTGGGAAAAGGGAACTTGCCTTCTGAGCTTTGTACCAAAGACCTGGGAAAAGTAAGTAATTTTCTAACTTGCTTTAAAAAAAATTCTCTTATACGTCTCTCAGAAAGTTAACAGTGGTTCTGTGGCCTTTCTCCTTTCTTTCTTTCCTGGCTTTGTAGTTTTATGTGCTTTTATGGATTGGAAACATGGAAAGGGACTCAGGAGACCTTTTAAAAAACCTTCTAAAGAGATTTGGATGACTCTCTGCATTGTGTCATTTTTTGTGGGGTTTCAAAAAGTGAGTCCTCAAGGTTGTGATAAAACCTTTTATTATATGTGCAGTAGATGAGTTAAACTTTAATAATAAGGGAATGTAATGTGGTAGGACAGAGAAGTGAGTCCAGTTTTTTGACCTTCAGGTGTTTTAGACTTTTACATAGGCTCTTTGGTTGTGTATTTTTAGAGTAAGAATGAAATACATTAGATTCTTTTTTTGTCTGCAAAGGAAAACAAAATGTAGAGACACTTGTTCAAGAAGTTCCTCCTGTAGCTTGGTCTTGGTAGACCTAATGCACCTGTCAGTTTTATTATTATATACCTTTTTGAGGTATTTTAAGATATGCTAATTAAGACACATGTATGAATGATTTTGCTGTCTTTTAGAAAAAGTCCAATGAGACTATAAAGTTCAATTTTATTCTCTGATGTTTTTGAAAGGTAAAATGGGCTGTAAAGATCATAAAGTTAGTCTACTTTGTTGTAGATACTATACTATACTACACACACCCCCTTTCTGGCATGTTCCAGAAATGGTATCATTGACAATAGGAGCTGTTCATCCATTTAATTACTAGTTTTCTAGACTTCATATGCCTTGTGTTTTACAGTTCCTCTACATTTCTTATAGTACAAAATGAGCTAGTTGAAACATGTCTAAAATAAAGCAAGGCAGAAAAGAACTTTGCTCTAGAAGTTGTCTCTAAGCATTAAATAATAAGATCAGATTTGATCAGATTTTATTTTTATATTGTGTTTACTATGAACATAATTAAATTGTGTATTTTTTGTAATATTTATGATAATAAGGTAAAGGTCTTTAATTTTGAGCCCTATTTGAATTTTAAGATTTTATTTATTTTTTTAGACAGAGTGGAAGGAAAGGAGACAGAGAGGGAGAGAAACATAGCTGTGTGAGCAAGAAACAGTTGCCTCTCACACATCCCCAGCAGGAGACCTGGCCCGCAACCCAGGCGTGTACTGTGACTGGGAATTGAACCAATGACCTTTCAGTTTGCAGGCCGGCACTGTGTCCACTGAGCCACACCAGCAAGGGCTGATGTTTAATAAGATATTTGTGCAGAAAAAATATTATATACACACATACAGTATACACACACCATGAATATGATTTCTGAGTGCTATCAAGTCTCTGCTAATATAAGTTCTTTGAAAGGAAGGACTTTGAAAATTTTTTCCGATACCATTTAATTTGTTACAACAAAATATTGCAGTAGTTAAATACTATTGGCAATGGAATTTTTTTAATGATAGCAATTTTATTTAAATTTTGTCATCTTATATTTACATATTAACCTTAAAATAAAGGAAATCCTGTATAGTGTAGTTCCTATTTTATCTTGGAAGGATATTTGAAAGAGGAATATCTTGGAAGTCACCAGCCTGTTCATAGAATGGAATGAAAAGGACAAAAGATTAATTCTCTGGGCTTCATGATCCAGATACTTGCAGTGGTGTTTGGCCTTGAAATATTAACAGCCTCAAAAAGTAAGCAGCTTAAACTACCTTTCAAATAATTTAGCATCTCTTGAAAATTTAATAGTCTTTGGTGAAATATTTTCCTTCCATTACACCAAAATATTCCCTTTGTGACATTGTTGTAAAAGTCATTTTTCCATTTTGTAGAGGCAAGGTATCTGTAGGACTTTTGATCACAATAATGAGCTAAAGACAAACACTGTGTTACCAGAGAGACCATGGCAAACAGATCTCTGCTTATTAAACCTGATGTCACAGATGAATATTTATATGCACTAAAGGATGTCACTATTCACCTTTAAGTTAAAAAATAGAAGAAGAAGGTGTATAGTGTGTAAGTATGCTCCATATAAATCTAGTTCTGAAGAAATAGTTATGTGGAAGTAAACATTAAGGGAGAAGGAGGGAAGTCCTTTCTGAAATTTACAAGTCATGAGAGAGTGTTTCTGACACGCCTTGTAGACTGTCAAGGGTACTTCAATGTATTGGTGACTGATTTCTTTTTGAGAAGGCAAGAGCACAGTGTTAGGGAAAATTCAGAACTGCAACGTTCACACTCCTTTTTACCTCCTTTTTGTCTTCCACTTTTATTTATTCCTTAATCACAGATATGTTTTCAAAATCTTCCCTGTTGCAAGCATTTTGTTTAATTATTTGAGGTAGATTTCAGGAAACCTGAGTCTGTAATGTTGGCAAAATATAAGATACACCTTTGAAAATTAGCCATGGATTGGTAGCAGGTAGAAAGCAGCTTCTAATTTATTACCTTATTTAATACATACTTATTTTTACGTTAATACTGAGAGTAGTGTGTGCTACAAATTGTTTGGTATCCTGTTTTTTTCCTGCTTTTTTTTCCATTTAACAATGAATGATGAACTCCTATGCTAGTAAATATTTATCTACAATATCATTTTTAGTGAAGACAAAACTAGTGGATCTTAGCATTTTGTTTAATTTGAGGCTACCCTGGCTCTCAGTTAAAGAGGAGTATAAACATGTGAAGTGTATGGTGTAGGTTTTTCATCTGCAAACAGACAACGGACTAGGGCTCCCCTTCTGTAATCTCTATAGTGTTTACTGTGACATCTTCTGAATTGGGGGCTTGTGGGACTAAATATCTGTTCAAAATTGTAGGTGTCACTGTCTGACAGGTACAATGTACAAAGCACTGTCTTCTTCGGTCCTTTTGTTATATTACAAGTGTGCAGGTGACATTCCTCCCGCTTAGCTGTCTTCATCAATGTTTCTGTGCTTAAGGAATGATTCTACCTACATATTTCTTCCTCACAAGAAGCTCTAAGTATTTTAGATAAGGTGACAGGTGCAGAAGGAACATTGCATACACTTTGGAATATAATGCATTGGAGTAAATTGCAATTCAAATTAATCGAAGATGCAAAATGTTTTATAGACCTTTGCATGCTTTCTCAATTTTAAGTTTATTTATTAAGCCAACATTCGTTGAGCAACTGCTATGTGCCAGCTACTGTGTTAGGAGCTCATTATTCAAAGATTAATGAGATATGCTCTTGCTTTCAAGGAACTTAATTTGAGTTTCAAATTCAGAACTCAAATAACATTTATTCAGCATGTACCATGTGCCAAGCAAGTGGGCTGGATGTTCTTAGATGAGGTGTTTGGCCACAAAAATTCAGTAGTGGTTTTTATTGACCTTGTCTCCTCCAAAATAAGTTATGAATAGCATTTTCTAATCTTTGAGGTTTTTTTCTTCCATTGTATTTTGGCACCTGCTTACTACTCGTTAAGTTAAATTAGCAAATGGGGAAAAAGTTAAACAAGTAACAAGAATGATGATTTTGATCTCACCTATAAGTGGAACATAATCAACAAAACAAACAAGCAAGCAAAATATAACCAGAGACATTGAAATAAAGAACAACAGTAACGAGAGGGGAGGGGCAGGGGAATAATGGCGGCGGGCAGGCGGGCGGGCGGGGGGGGGGGGGGGGAAGAAGGGGAAGGATCGTCAAGGAACATGACAAAGCCAAAGGGAGGTAGGATTGAGGGTGGCAGGTCGGGGTGGGGCGAGGGGAAGTGGTGGTGGGAAAATGGAGACAACTGTACTGGAACAACAATTAAAAAATTAAAAATGGATAAAAAGGCTGGTGATTTTAAAAACGTGTTTCTTTTATATACATATAACATAGTCATAATTTCTCCTACTAAAGTATTTCTTAGTTCACATGATATAATTACATATATCAAGATTTGTTTTGTTTTTCATTTTCAAAAATATATCAAGATTTAATGCCATTTTGCCCTTAGTGTGTCTCCAGTGTCTGCACAAGTATGGAAGCCCTGCGTTAAATCGCTTGATTTTCACAGTCATTCTCGCGATTAGGGATTATTGAAACTTGGGGAGGGGAGTAACTTGCCCTCATTCACACAGCTAGAACATGTTTGAGTGAGGGTTCCAGCTTCTACCCATTTAACTTGCAAGCTCACGCAGGGTCCTCCTCACTCCAGTGCGCTGGCAGGGAGGCTGGGCGCACAAATGCTCCGGGCCTGCCGAGGTTGGGGCAGTCCTTTCAGCTGAGGAAGCAGGAAGTGTGTTTGCTGCATGAAGAGCTGGCAGTGGCCAGTCTTGGGGGCTGAGTTAGAAGACAGAAAAGAGGGAGGAATAGCTGGGGCAGCAGGAGAAGCACGTGCCAAGGCGTAGAGGAACGGACGCTCCCCGCATGCTCAGAGAGAGGCCGGGGTGGGGCACGATGGAGGGCACGGTGGACTCAGGTTGCAAAGCCCTGGCGCCAGAATGCGGAAGGCCCCATGTGGGCCATGCTAGAGACTTGAGCATGATATGGCTATAAGAGTTATGGTAAAAGAAATTTCACAGCTGGAGGGGAGTTTTACGATGCTCACTTGGGCAGCAGTCTACAGTATAGACTGAAAAAGGGAAAACTGGAGACACAGGGCCGCCGTGTGCGGACTGTTTACTGCACAAGGGTGTGTGTGAGCAGTGGGGTACTCTTGGGGCTGGGCCTGCCTAGATAGGGCCTGCACCTTTACAAATTTTCACAATAAGCAGCTCTACTTGCCTTTTAGTTGCTTATAAAATAGTAGGAGAGATTAGATAAAGAAATAACCGTGTTCCCTGAGGCTTGAATCTGGAGGGGGACATCGTGGTCTGTTTTCTAACTATGTGATGCTGGGCACCTTCCTCATTCTCTCAGAGACGATTTCCTCATCTGTAAGGGAGAGTTGGTAATAGGATCTAGCAGGGTAATAGGATCTAGCAGGGCCCTGGACAGAGCAGTGAAGGGTCCTTGGTAAGA